CCTGACAACACCTGAGATTCCCCAGCCAAACACTGTTGGTTTCACAGTTACCACATGAAGGACCTGAGTAGGGACAAACACCTCAAAGGAGAGACAGGAAAACACCTCAGGGATTGACCCAACCCAACCAAAAGGGAGAAGAGGAAGGAGGGAATGTTCTGCTTTTCCTTCTGGCAGGTCCAGGTGGCAGCAAAGCTGGAGAATTCCATCAGTGCATCCTCTGTAGAGATAACACCAGGGACACAAACCAACTCAACCTAATTTTTCCACCCACCTCATGGGCAAACAACTCTTCCATCCTCATCCCAACCATTCTGCTTCCCAAAATTGAGCCCAGCACGGGACAAGGCACTCCCTGATCAGCAAAGTAAACACTTGTGGTTGAAGCAGCTGGTGCAAGAGAAAAAACCTGAAGGTGTATTTGAAGTATCACCACAGAGTTGGGTTTAAGGGCAGTGAGAGTTTCATTTCCCATCTTTAATCCTTATCCATGGGGAGGTAATTCCTTCTCTACTTGGTCTTAAAATAGCCTGAGCAGCAACAGGTCTCAGGTTGCAATTAATACCAGGAAGAATGAACAACATCCTCAGCTTTGGAGGTTTGGCAGAACTTCACTTTGAGCACATAAGACACTGAGCAGACAGGAATACAAAGGGGTTTGTTCATTTTTTTTTTAAGGAAAAGTGCACTTTAGACTGCAAAAAATTCAGGACTCTGGTGCAAAAAAAATAATAATTTCATCTACATCAAGAGGAGGTTTATGGTACCAACAACGTGGGGAGTTGGAGCCAAGTCCATAAGGTTAGAAAGAGCCTTACCAACTCTGAAACTAGCATTAAAATAAAATTCCAGCAGTAAAATATCATTGGATAAAGGAGGAAAAGGAGATAATAGGGAGGAAGTTACTTTGGGAAAGGATCTGGATAAATTCCTTGCTGAGAATTTGATCTGAGGGATGAAATCAGAGTCAAAAAATCCACAGAAAGGACTTTTTTCCTGCTTAAATATCCTGATTTTTCAGGGAGTTTTCAGCCCCCACCTCTCCCTCCTGCAGCAGTTCCATGTCTGAGCATCAGTTGGGAAGGAGAAATTCAGGAGAAGCTAAAAAGATCCATGAAAAACAAGAACTTCAGCCATGGAACATCCCAATTCCAGCCTGGCCACAAATCACCTCACTGACCAATGTTTTCCCAGGTTTAGTTGGAAGAATTTCCTCCTCCTGCAATTCCTTTGAGCCACTTCCATCCAAATTCCATAGGGGAGGACAACCAATCAGTGAATCCCAGGATGGATTGGGTTGGAAAGAACCTTAAGGCCCATCTTGTTCCACCTCAGCTCAAGAGTGTTAGGAGAAACTTCCATGGATTTTTACCTTCTTGAGGCTTTTCCTTACACTCCTGGGAGTCTGTGCTGTCTGTTTGCACATCTGGAATCTCCTGGATTTGTATTCCAGACACCTGGAATGATCTCCTTGACCAAGCACTGAAAGGTTCAACACTGCTTGAGGGACAGAGGTTGAACTCTACCTCCACCCCTGGTCATCACCCAGGGCAATCCAGACACTAAAGACCTTTTCCTACCTGATTTTCCACATGGAAAAATCCTTATGGAGCTGCTAAGTTGATGTCTTAGCTCAGAGCTCTGGTACAAGGAATGTTTTCCTGCTCTGGGCATCACCCAGTGCATCAGGAGATGCTTTCAAGCACAACAGTGCACACAAACATCATTTCCATGTCTCCAAGGAAACACTGATCCAAATTTTTCTCCTTTTTATGCAGGAAAACAGAGCAACTGGATAGTTTTTATGGAGTTTGAGGAAAATGGAGCAACTGGATAGTTTTTATGGAGTTTTACACTCTGGACACCCCCAGACAGGTCCCTCTTGGAAGGACTCTGGAAGTTCAGCAGTTCTTGGCTGTAGTCTACACTCAACACCTCAAACCATCTTCATGACCTTTGCCATCCCTTCCCACTTCTCCCACTTTTGGGAGGTTGGGAATATTCCAGCTAAGGTGAACTATTCTGTAGGAACTCAAGAGATTTTGATATCCACTCCCAAAACTGCCCCCCAAAAAATAAAAAAAAAATTACAAAGCTCCTGCAAACACCTTTCAACCACATCCCAGTATAAAATAAAAACAAAAATTACAAAGCTTCTGCAAACACCTTTCAACCACATCCCAGAACCTCCCAGGTTGGGAGGGATCCATAAGGATCATCAATTCCTACAGGAATCCTTAAGGAAAAACACCTTCCAAGCTCACAGCTCCTTTTTTTTTTGCTGTGTTTTCCAAGCAGATTTCCATGTTTCATTCCCCTCCTGACAGCACAGTCACCACCTGAAGCTGCTTAGGAGTCTCTGGAATTCCTCCCAAACCATTTCCTCATGGATTCAAGGAAATTGTTATTCCCAAACTTCTCCCAAGCCTTTGGCCAATCCCTGTTCCATGTTCCTTGGCAAACAGATCAATTCCAACAGCCCCAAATCCACTGGAACCTCCCTAATTCTCTCTTCCCACACCAAATCTCCTCAGCCCAATTTCTCCACAAACCTCATTCCCAGAGCCAACTTTGCAGTCCCAGGAAGCCTAAACCATTCCCAGGTTTTCACCTGAATATTCCACCTGAATTTCCTCCCCTTGACTCACTCACACCAAGGATTTTTTGGGGGGGTTTCCCAGGCAGTGCAAATTAGCAAATTGTATTTATTGAGGAGAAATTCAAGCAGATTACACGAAGTAGTAGCAGATTATTACTTTTTTAGGCTGTGCAGCACTTTGACATCCTATTCCCAAAGAAAATATGGATCTCTAGGAGAAGCTTTATGGATTTAACCAAAAGCTTTGCCCAAAAAAGCCCCAAAACAAATCCCCAAAAGGACTGAATTTAGGGCAGGAAATTTCTCTACCACCAAGACAAAGAACCATGCTTGGAATTCTGTTAGCACCTCCCTAATCTGTTGCTTTTCCACTCCCATTTTATCCATAACTACATTACAGGGGAATTAAATAACCTTCCCAACAAATTACTTCAGTCACTCACCAAACTTGGTGGAACACTGGGAAAAATTCCTTTCTCCCAAGTTTAGCAGCTAAGAAAAAAAGAAAATCCAGGATAAAACTCCTCAAAAAAGTAAGGAAGAAAACTACAAGAGCTCAACTAACGACCACACAAAACAAAAAATGAGTCAAACCACAAAAATCTCAACAAAAATCTTAAATAGAATAAATTACTAAGCCCAAAGTCTGACAAGTGCTACCTCAGGTTGGGTGGGAAGGAGAACACTTCCCTTGGAAGGGAAATTCCTTAAGGTAGGAAAGCCTGGAAAGGGAATCCAGAAGGGAATTTCATTGCCTTGAGGCCAAACTCTTCATCCATAGGAGCCTTGAGCAAAGTTCTTGGAGCTGCAGAAGGTTTTGGCCTCACTCAAAGGTCCAAGAAGTGGTTTGGCCTTGGTCAGCCAAGAGTTGGTGGCCCAAAAGCAGCTCCAGGACAGCTCTCCCTGAGAGCTACTAAAACAAAATCATTTGGGCATCAGAGAAAGGAAAATCCAGGTGGTTTCAAACCTTCCAAAACATTGGAATTTAGAGATAGACACATATTTCTGCAAGTCTTAGGATCACATCAAACTTCGTCGCTTCCACGGCCTCAACGAGACCAACTGGGCCTCAGTTGTCCCAGTTTGGTGGCTGTTCCTTCTGGAAAGTCATCTGGGTTTTGTTGGGATCATCTCATTTGGCAGCAAAATTCCACACACAACCAGCATCACCCACTTGGAAAGTCCTGCTTGGATCCTACATGGATCCTTCCCTCACATCACTCCTGGAGAAGTTCACCCAAGCTCACTCTGGAGCTTTCCCACTGGGAGGGTGACACTAAGGAAGAGTTTGGAATCCTCATCCCAAGCCAAATTCCTTGTTTTCAGCCCAATGCCTCTAGTTTCCAACAGGATGAGGTGGAAAGGTTGAGATCTGACTTGGCAGGATGACTTTTCACCTGTATTTTTCTGCCTCTCCTCAAAGGAACTTGGGATTTGGGTTAAACATTATCCTAAGCTGGACCAAGAAGGGGGAAAAATTTATAACTCAGGAAGTTATAAAGGACTTAACCTTCACCTTCAAAAAACAACAACTAGCACCAAGAATCCAGGGATAAAGATCTCCTGGGGAGAAAGTGGCTCTTTAACCACGAATGGTTTGGTGGAGACACACACAGAGGTTTGGTCCAGGAGGGACTTGAGAGAGGAAAGTGGCCAAGAGCCAGTCACAAAAAGGAAATTTGGGAATATCTGAAGGGAATTAGGCTGCAAAAAACCCCAACACAAACCAAAGGAACCCAAAGCACATCTCTGCCAGCTGCAGCTCCCCTCAACCAGCAAACCCACAAACATCTGCATGATGTGAGGTGAGGAATCAGTGCCTGAATCATTTCCCATTTCACCAAAACCATCTCAGACTCCTCATCTCCTCCAAACTCTTTTCCAAGTCAATCCCCACACCATTCTCACTCCTTCCACTTGGCCTTTGCCTTCACTTCAGGTCCAAGAGTGGAAAAAGAAACCCAAAACAAACTGAAAACAAACCTTTCCACCCAAGAACTAGTCAGCAAAGATTTGGGTGAGGATTCTCTGCACCTGAAGGCCAAGTCCAGCTGAGGAAATTCCCACTGGAGCAGATTCCACAGGTGAATATCCATCACCTGCCTGACATGGAGCTCCCAGCACACACATTTCAGTCCCTCAGGAATGAGGAGGTGCAGATGTTGGAAAGAAGACTTGAAATCCTTTGTTGCTTAAGGTTGAAACTCATAGATTTGCCCAAAAAAAAAAAAAAAGTCCATTTCTTTCTAGAATTTTCCTTTTGTTTGTTTGTATTTTTTTTTGAAGTCTCCAATTCTGAGTCTGGAATTTCAGACTCCTTTTGTTTTGTTTTGTTTTTCCCCCCCTAAGTACCAGGGAAAAATTTGGGAAGTGCAATACCAGGAGAGTTTCTGCTCAATGTTCAATGTTCATGTTGACAATTGATTTTGTCTTCAGAATGCTCCAGAACTTCCAGCATTTCCTCTATGATGGCCTGGAGGGCCTTGCCCAGCTGTTCTGCAGAGTATGGTTTTCCCAAGGGAGGCACATGGATAAATGCTGATCTCCCACAGCTCTGGTACAAGGAGGTGTAATAAGTGAAGTCACAGAGGTACCTGAAATGCCAAAACACACATTAATTACCCAAACCAGCACAGGACAAGGAGGATTTTCTTCTTCTTCAGCAGCATCCTGGGATTTAGTGGGAGGAGGTGGAATTCAAGCTTGGAATTGTGGCTTTGGGATTGTTCTGATCAAGTCTAGGATAAAAAAAGGTGAAGATGTCTCGTTTTTCCCCTCTATGATGGTTAGGTGGTCACTGAAGAGCAGGTGGCATTGCCTGAGGCTTCAAATCCATGTGGATGTGGCACCTTGGGACAGGGATTGGCTTTGGCAGTCTTGGGGGGAATGTTGGACTCAAGGATCTGAGACTCAAGGATCTTATCCAGCCTAAATGATTCCATGAAAAGCTTGTAGGGATCAATAGAGCTGAGCATGAAGGGAACATGCAGGACATGGTGCCAAGATGAGGTTGTCTCCAGCTCTGAGGGCTCCAACATCAGAAGGATGTGGAGCTGCTGGAGTGAGTCCAGAGGAGGATCCAAGGGCTGGAGACAGACTGGGAGAGCTGGGAGTGTTCAGCCTGGAGAGGAGAAGCTCCAGGGAGACCTTAGAGCCCCTTTCAATGCCTTAAGAGGCTCCAGGAGAGCTGGAGAGACTTGGAACAAGGGATGGAGGGACAGGACACAGGGAATGGCTTTAGGGCTGGATGGATATTGGGAAGGAATTCCTCCCTGGGAGGTGCTGAGGCACTGGAATGGATTTCCCAGAGCAGCTGTGGCTGCTCCATCCCTGGGAGTGTTCTATTCCAGGGGATGGGGTGCAAACGGGGTTAGTAGAAAGTGCCCCTGCCTATGACATAGGATAGAACTCCATGACCTTTAAGCTCCTTCCAACCCACCCCACCCTGTGATTCCATGCCTCTACCCAATCCCCATGGATCTCTGGCATTCCCTACCTGCCTGCATCCTTGGAGATGGTGACAGTGACATCCAGCCCCAGTGCTGAGACCCTCTTGCACACTGTGTCCATGTCAATGATGGAGTCAATGCATTCTGGGCCTCCTTCCACACAGCACTGGGAGCCTGGGCAGAAACGACAGTTGTCCAACCCTTTGTACCCTACGTTGTGGCCACATTTCTCCAGGGTGACAGTTGTAGCCATGCCTGAAACTCCCACATGGACCACCAGCTGCAAGGAAAAAGGACTAAGTTAGGTCAACCCACATAGCAACTATGGGAAAAAATCAACAATTTGATCCTTGTGGGACCTTCCAACTGAGGATATCCACAATTCCTGCCCATGGCAGGAGGCTCAACAACTGGACATGGTCTAGTTGACAAGGTGGTGATTGATCTTGGAGGTCTTTTCCAACCTCAATGACACTGTGATAGGACCTTTAAAGATCCTTTCCAACCCAAACCACTGTGGGATTTCATGATTCTATTCCCAGTTAAGGAAGAGGATTATGGAAGAAATAAAAAGTGGCAGGTTAAGGGTTGAACTTGATGATCTTAGAGATCTCCTCTGACCTTGAGGATTCTGTGATTCTAAGGATGGAGCTGTTACAGGGATGGAGTTGCTACAGGGATGGGATGGAATTGCTACAGGGATGGAGCTGCTACAGGGATGGGATGAAATTGCTACAGGGATGGAGTTGCTACAGGGATGGGATGGAATTGCTACAGGGATAGAGTTGCTACAGGGATGGGATGGAATTGCTACAGGGATAGAGTTGCTACAGGGATGGGATGGAATTGCTACAGGGATAGAGTTGCTACAGGGATGGGATGGAATTGCTACAGGGATAGAGTTGCTACAGGGATGGGATGGAATTGCTACAGGGATAGAGTTGCTACAGGGATGGGATGGAATTGCTACAGGGATGGGAAGGAGTTGCTACAGTTGTTCCAGGAGTATCAGAGCAATGTGGCATTTTATCATGGCTTCAGCACAACCCAATTCTTCCTGATTCTCTCCCTGCTGACCTAAATTGGGATTTAATTGGGGTCAGCTGAATCCTGGCACGTTGACAGCTGCAGGAAGAGCCCAGGAGGAGCCCAGGTGGCCCAGCCTAACCACGAGCTGTCTAGACAGCCCTTTGCAGTGGCCTCTTCCCACCAACTGCTCCCATGAATCGGAGCATTCTGAGCTGGAAAATCCTCCAAATTCACATGTTCTCACTACAAAAGAGGAAAAGATCCAGGCAGGAACTACCAGGTTGAGCAATACATGAAAAAATGAGACTTCATGTGGTGCTTGGTGCAGCTTTCAACCCTTTGCTGGGTGGTTTTAATCCTCCTCCCTTTACTCACTCACTTGGGGACTGTGTTTCTTCCACAATGCAGGAATGAGTCTTTGCACTGTCTGGTATTCAACAGGGACTTCATAGACATGTAGATCCACATCATCCCCCAGGCCAAGCTTCTCCAGCTCCTAAGAACAATCAGGGAAACAACAAACCCAATATGGTTAGACAGCAGATGAGCAGAGGATTTCCTCCTGGAAGGTTTAATGGCACTATCTGGGATTCAACAGGGACTTCATAGACATGTAGAACTACATCACCCCCCAATCCAAGCTCCTCCAGCTCCTGAGAACACCAAACCCAAGATGGTTAGACAGCAGGTGAGCAGAGAATTTCCTCCTGGAAGGTTTAACAGCAGAGTGAGGGAGTAACATCAGCTTACACTAGTTGTAGAACCTTGTAAACAGCACCTGGAGGGAGTTTACAGCAACCACAGTGATAAAAAGCCCATGATGGGAAGAACAAAAGCAACTCTGCACCTGTGTTAACAGTCTGCACCCACAGAAGAGTTTGTTTGGCTCTGATGGGTGACAGAGAGATCAACATTTAACTGACAGTAGTAATCAGCAACACCCACACTCAGGGGAAGGTTGGCTCTGTTATTTATAGAGGGAGAGAGTCATAATCCCTAATTCTTTCAAGAAGTGAGTAGGGAAGGTAGGACTGGAAGGATTAAATCCATCAGCACTGTTGGTCTGGAGAGGAAATCCATGTCTCCAGCTGAAGAGCTCTCAGGGCTGGTGACAGCACTGGGGGTTCAACTAAGGCAGTGAATGATTTCTCCCTCTCCAGCTAAAGTCAGGAAAACATCCCAAATATCCTGGCAATAAACTGAGCCAATTTCCCTTACAGCTTTGAAAGCACAAAGTGTCAGTTCAGTTCCTTGCAAAGGCTTTAAAATCAGAGGGATCAGGTATTTCCTCCCAGTATTCCAGACTGGGAAGCACATTGTGTGATCCCAACACTGGGAGTTCCCTCATGGCTCTGGATGATTCTCCCTTGCTCTGCTTTGGTTTCTGTTCCAACTTACTTCACTCCAGTAAGGTCCAGTGAGTTTGACCATTGGTACTTCAGAAGTGAAACCTCTGAGCCTTCAAGCCCAAACTGCCAAGAATTCAAGGACAAACCCACATGGTTTGAAACCTCTGAGAGAAAATGCTCTTAAAAATCATCAGCTGAGCCTAAAATCAGGTGCCAGGTTACAGCAGGAGACTCTTTTCCAGTGCCAGAACCCACTCCAGCCATGCATGGAATAAATTCCTACAGCATCTAACTTGGATGTAGTTACCCTCTGATGAAGACAACAATTTGGGGCACTCTGAAAACCTTTACAGCTGCTTTTCAAGGCTGACAAGTGACAGCACATGCCTAAAGCAACAGTCAGATCCTCCCACAGCTCTGGGAAGATGCTACAAGTAGCACAGGTTGGGGCTGTTCCACCCCGGGAGTGTTCCAGGCCAGATTGGGACATGGCTTGGAGCAACTTGGGCTAGTGGAAGGTGTCCCTGGTGGAACTCCATGGTCTTTAAGGTCCTTCCAACCCAAAGCAGAGTGTGATTCCATGATTCTGCCAAGTGAATCCTTGTCCCTGGAGCCAGAAGGAGCTGTACCCTCACACCTCTCACTCCAGGGCTGCATCTCCATAAACTCCTGTAGCTGTTCCTATGGATCTGAGGTAGAAACAGCAAAGTAAAAGCCATGAAACCACCAAAGGACATTTCATCACATTCCTGAACAACTTGAGTTCTCTCTCTTTGAGGTTTGGAGTTGGTCAGAGCCATGAGCTGCTCTTAGGCTTTGTTTCCCTGCACACACTGCAAACTTGAGGCTGAGGAGAGCAATCAGCTCTTTCCACTTCCCATCCTCATATTCCCCTAGGTGAGCCATTAAAAATTCAAGCCAGCTGCAAGGAGAAGACAAGTGGAGAGTTTTGGCCTCCCCCATCACCAGGAGCAGATTGAGGATCATTTTTCTGTGTTATCAGCACAAGTGGCTCTTTACCAAGGGGTAAAAACAAACACCTTTCACACTGGTACAGACAAACCACGAGAGGGACATGAGATTTAAGCTAACTAAACCCACCCAGAAAAGGGAAGAGTGAGACTTAGAGATGAGCAACGATGATAAATCACTGGCTCTGAGGGCAAGGCTGATATTAAAGCCTTGCTGTATTGATTAGTGTCTGGCACACACAGACATTCATTCCCAGAGATGGATGCAAGTGATGGTTCATCACAGCTTCTTTACACAAATCTGCCTTCCAACCCTTCCTCTGCTTGATGGGGAATGTCCAGAAAGAAAAGGGTTTACAAATGAGAGGATTCAGACTCAAATCAACTTCTTTAGGAAGAGAATAAACACTTTTAGGAGGGTTAATTACTTGGAATTCTGCAGCATTTCTCTAACCAGCAATGAAAACAGCTCCTAAAGAGGAAATTCCAGCTTGGAAAGTTTGCCTAGTTGCAAAAAAAAATAATCCTCAAAAGGATGAGCTACATCCTCCCTCAGTACCAAACCCCAAACCCAGTACCAAACCTGCCCTTTCCCAACCCAAGCAAGCCCTGAGGGTCGTTAATGAAGATGTTTGTAGGCCCCACGACAACTTCTTCCCCCCTCCCTGCTCTGTCTACCTGCCAAACACAGAGCAATGAGCATGTGTGACCCATTCCCTGACCCCTCCACAATGCTGCTCTTTGTCAGCCTCTAATATCCTTATCAGGTCTGTCTAGACACCCTGACAGCAATTGTCCTTCCTAATGTCAAAATGCACTTTGACCTCTTTCCTCCTCCTCCTCCTCCTCCTCTCAGCCAGAAGCATTTTGGGCTGGGGATGATGAAGGCAGAAGCTCAGGAGCTTCACAGCCCACAAAACACACCTGTACCTACACCTAAGTCCTGCTGAGAGGGCAGAAAATTCAGGGAAAAAAGCTCCTTTCAATACCTTCTCCAAATCAAAGTCATTCCCAAGCAGAGCCAAAATTCCTCAGAGGAAATATTCCAACCAGAACAGAATTAATCCACATTATCAGAGGATTTTTTTTGCTGTCAGCCTTAAAGGAAAGCAGAAAGGAGGTTTTTTTTCTGCCTGCTGAATTTAGAGGAAATCTCTCTTCCCCCATGGATATATATAAAAAAATAAAAATCTAAACATTTCAGCGTTTTGGGAATGAAAAGTATCCAATGTTTTGTTTCGGGATCATGAATAGATTGTTCCTGCCACTCTTTAAGGTACCCATGTGTAAAAATCAGTCAGCTTTCCAACCCAAACAGCCTCACCAGAGATTCCTAGGAAAACACCCTCCCTATATATCCATGTTGTGTGTAAGAAGCTAAATAAACCCCCCCAAAAAAACAAGGAGAAAAAAAAAAAAAAAAACAAGCAGCAAATTTTTTCCTGGTGCTGCAGGGCTAAGAAAAGATGTAATAAAGCAGAACTAGCTTAGCCCTAAAGCTAGGAAGGATTTAGAAAGATAGTTTAATTGATTTTTCTGCTATTAAAATGCAGATCACACTGTCTGGGCTTGGGGAAACTCAGACAAGGCTTTGTGTCCACTCAGCTCCATGAAGTCCCCGTCTGAAACTTGCACAATGCCCACCTCAATGCCTGGGCTCAAAGACATGCTGTTCCTTTTTTGTCTGGGCCTCTGGGGGCTGAGACAGGGGAAGGAAAGGCAAATCCTCCCTGCTGCCTCCAAGCTGAGGGTGGGAGGAAACAGCAGGAGGAGGTAGATGTGGAGTTTAGGCTCTCCAAACAGCCCCAGCTCAGAGGTTTAGACTCTCCAAGCACCCCCAAGTCTGAGTTTGATTCTCAAAGCATCCCCAACTTGGGAGTTTTGGACTCAAAGCATCCCCAACTCTGAGTTTTAGACCCTCAAAGCATGCCCAAGTTTGAGTTTTATACTCAAAGCCTCCCCAACTATGAGTGTGACTCTCCAAGCATCTCCAACTCTGAGGTTTAGACCCTCAAAGCATCCCCAACTCTGAGTTTGACTCTCAAAGTATCCCCAACTCAGTTTTATACACTCAAGACACCCCAGCTCTGAGTTTTAGACTCTCAAAGCATCCTTACCTTGGAGTTTTAGACTCAAAGCATCCCCAACTCTGAGTTTTAGACCCTCAGAGTGTCCCCAAGTCTGAGTTTCAGACCCTCCAAGCATCCCCAACTCAGTTTTATACACTCAAAACACTCCAACTCTGAGTTTTAGACCCTCAGATCATCTCCAATTCTGAGTTTGACTCTCCAAGCATCCCCAGCTCTGAGTTTATACACTCACAACATCCCCAAGTCTGTTTTAGACTCTCACAACATCCCCAACTGAGTTTATACACTCAAAATATCCCTAAATCTGACTTTAAAACTCTCACATCCCCAACTCTGAGTTTTAAATTCTCTAAGCCCCTCCAAGTCTGACTCCCAAAGCAACCCCAACTCAGAGTTTTATACACTCAAAGCATCCCCAACAGTTTTATACTCATAGCACCCTCAACTCTGAGTTTTAGACCCTCAAAGCATCCCCAACTCTGAGTATCACTCTCCAAGCATCCCCAAGTCTGAGTTTATACACTAACAACATCCCCAGCTCTGAGTTTTAGACTCCCCAGGTACACTTCACTCTGAGTTTTGGACTCTCCAAGCATCCTCAAGTCTGTTTTGGACTCTCCAAGCAGCCCAAGGCCCTCAAAATGGATTTAAAAAGCAGATGATAACTTTAGCCCCAGCTCCATAAATAAGAGAAATATTTGAGGGCCAAAGGAAATTCTTCTCTGGGAAGAAGAGAAGGTCATGTTGTTGTAAGCAACATCACAGCACTTCTCACTCCTCCTGCTCCAGCAACACAACACCCTCTAAACCAGAAGTATTTCTCTGTCCCCTCTAAACCAAAGAATTTTTCCGTCTCCTCCATCATAAAACTAATTATTTGCAAGAAGTAACACTACACAAGGAACAACAACCCAACCCAATGAGCCTCATCCCTGAATTTTAGTCCCAACTCTGTATTTTTTTTCCACCCACAACCTGCATTTTCCTCCCAAACAAACCCTAACTCAAACCTCTTCACCCCCAAAAAGCTCTTGGAGGCAAAGGGTTTGTCTCCTTCCACATGAGACAGCTGGACATTAGTTGGCTGTAATTGATTAGTTTGTGATCTAATTTAAAAGCATTTGGAAAGGAGATATTCATCTCAGAGCTCTGAAGGGGAGAGAGATGGGTTGGGGAGAAAAATAGATTGAATTCCCTGGGCAACTGGACTAAAAGGTACCATGGAATTCCCAACAGCTTTGCATTAAACCACATGCAGAAGTGATAAAGAAGTGGGATAATGTGGCTGCACTGTCCTGGCTAAGTGTTTTGCCAGCAAGAAACCTTCAATCCATGGAGAAAGAGCAGAATTCCTTCCTCTTGCCTCAGCTGGGAGGTAGCAGTGTCACAGAGATGATCTCTCAGGCACAGGGTGAGATTTTTGGGGTGTCCTGTGCAGGGTAAAGAGTTAGACTTGATGATTCTTCTGGATCCACTGCAGCTATTCCATGACTTTCTGAATGTGCTAACACAGATGCAGCTACAAGTGGTGTGAACTTGACAGGAGCTGCTCAAGCAGTGATTCCCCAAGAATTCTCCTGTCCCCAGCAAGGTCCAACTCCATCAGCCAAGCAGAGAGGAGCTGCTCCAGCCCCTGCTGCACCCAAGGAGGGAATCAAGAGCAGAAAAGAGGCAGCATTGGCTGCTTTGATTTGGAATCAGAATTCTGCCCCTCTGACAACTCCACAGGACACTCACCTGCATGAAACTACCAGCTGGAAGTCTCCTCATGGATGAGATTTGGTTTAAAGGTGAACCAACAGGCTCAGCTTCAAGTTAAGAGCTGAGAGAAAAAAACCATCCAAATTCTTCTGGGTTGGTTGGTTTGTTTACTTTGAATTCTCCAGGGCAGAGGAAGATTCCAGGCTCTCCCTGCCCCATTTAACATCTCTTCAAGCCAGGAATTCCTTCCTTGCCTCAGCTACATTAACTCAATCTCATTAAACTCTACTAGCTAAGGGATTGTTTCCTGAGCAGCGAATCAAACATTATCCAACTGACCATCTGGATAGCTGCAGTCAGCAGGGCTCAGTCCATAAACTGGGAAGTTATAAGGAGCTGCAAACCTAAACCTGGAGGGATCTGCAGGGATCTATCCTCTGGTTTAGCTTGCTGAGAGGGAAATTCAGGTGTTACCTGCACTGCAATCCAGCTGGCATTAACAGCATGTTCTCCAAACGGCCCAAACCCTGCAAGAGAACAAAAATCCACACTGGTCAAATCATCCTCACTGCTTTTCCCTCACCTTCCACCTCCAAAGAGTTTTGCTTTAGGTATCTTGGAAAAAAAAACCAACCCAATTCTACTACCTAATCCTTATTTCTTTTCCCCCCCCTAAGAACCTGCCCAGGAATATTTCATATTGCAGTGAAGGAAACAACTTGTTTTTCCCAACAGATATTCTGGAAGGAGATTTTTGCCTTCCTGACCAGGTTAGAAAAACTGATTATTAACAGATAACTGGCCCAATATCATGGAATTAGTATCAAGATTAGATTTTCTACTCCTGATTACTTTAGCTCCCAGCAGATGCTTCTCTGAGTTTGTCTCAAGTGTTTCTTCCCTGCTCAAGTTGTCTCCAAGATCTCCTTTAGCCCTAATTATTCCACCCAAGGAAACAAACAGAACTGTTGACTTCCTCAGCACCTCTAAATTCCTAATGAATAACTTTAGAGTTAACTGGTAATCCATAACATCTTTTCCTGAGCAAGCACACAAAGGTTGGGCAATTTATCTGGGTGTAACGTCGATAGGCTTTAATTTAAGAGTGTCAGCATTGCCCTCCCAGCCCTAATGCAATTAGGGGACATAAATTCTGTCCAAGTCCTGAAAGGATTCGAGAGGGACCACAAATATTAAGTGACACCTTAATGGAAATGTTGTGTTTGCTACCGACAGGCTGAGGTGATGCTGCACATGAGGAGTTGGCATAGTGTGAGCTCACAGACCTCAACCCAAAGGAAATATTCCCTAGAAAAATCCCAGTGTTGGTGTGTTCTCCTCTGAGCAAAGCTCTCAAAGGGAATCTGTGAATGCAGCATGAGGGAATAAGGCAAATTAATGCCTTTTCTGCTGTTTCTGACACGACTCTCTGGGAATAAACATCACAACCTGCTAAGCTGAATTCCAAAATAAACTGTAACAGTCTTAGAAAAGAAATGAAACACATTTTACCAGCTCAGGCACTGAAAGGAATTCCACAGGTGCCTGTGGAGCTAATCTGAGCTTCTCACTCCAAATCCATTGGGAAAAGCAGCACAGACACAACTTGGGGTATCACCACTCTGACCCATCCCCTGCCCCAATCCCAAATCCCAAATCTCCAGGAACTTTGCCAGTAGCATCCAACGCCATGGAGCAATGCCACCTTCACCACAGAGCCCTCCAAGGCTCATTAGCAGTAAACCAGCTGCAGAGATGCTGATGGGATTATCTCCTTAACGAGTTTCTAAAAAAGAACCCCTGCACAAATAACACTTAGCCTCCAGCACCAGCTCCAAACCCAACACCACTCCTGGTTTTCCAAGGAATCCAACATGACATCAATGACATTATCAACCAGGGGCAAGAGCTGACAAGGCAACCACCATGTTTTGCAAGGAGATTTCCCTGAAACCAGAGCGGGGAAAATAAAAAAAAGAGCTAGGAGAAGCCTTGAAAGCAGCAGAACATTCCCTGACGCAAGTTTGTTTAGTCACCGCCGAGCGCAGCTGCTCTGAGCTACATTTGGGGTTGGGGAAAAAGCTTAGGATTTGCTTGGGAAAGGCAGGATTTGGCCACCTGCTTCTTCTGCCTCTCCACAAAACTGCTCCCTGCCAACAGCCCTTGATGCTGGGGCACCACGAGCCCCTCGAGCTCACTATTCAAACAGCTTCAGCTGCTCGGGGAGACCTCAATGCTCTCAGCCAGTTCCCCATTTGTCACAGAGCTGCCTCACCCACAAATCACCCTCAGTGGCCTTTGTACCCCTGGGAAGGGGCTGACAGCTCCAGGGCCTCTCCTTCCCTGGCTTGTTCTTCCCAGAGTCACTTCAACCCTGAGCTTCGTGGCTCAGGATGGGGTGGGTAGTGAGGAAATCCCCCCCAAAATGGTTTTCCTGCTCCTTGGCAGATTCAGTTCTCTTCATTCCACAACCAGAGAACCCCTGGGAGGGGATCAGGAGTGGAAAAAAGGGATATAATTCCCTGTAGCCTGGGCAAGTGTTAGGAAAGCTGTTGCAAAGCCACTTAGCACTGTACCCCAAGGTCTTGACAGCCCTCACATGCAGCAGTGCACCCCCAAACCTTCCCAGACTCTGCCTTCCCTCCCCTGGGCCCCCACTCATCACCCCCAAACAGCCTCTCAGGGTCTAGTGCCTCTCTCCATCCCTTCCTGAGTCACATCCTGATGGGACAGCAGCTCCTGGTCACCCACCCCACTCCCTCACCTCGGGGAAGGGCTTCTCTACCTACACCCCCCTGGTCCCTTCATCTACCCCCTCCAGTCCCCCAAAACCATCTCACCTCAGAGACAGGATCCTCCTCACTCTGGGCAAGGAGTTCTCCATCTCCATCCTGACCCAAAAATATCTTCCTTCAACTCCATAAGGTGTCCCCCACCTACCTCCCCCCCCAACCCCTCACTTGAGAGGAGATCTCCAGATCTACTCCCAGCCCAGACACCTTCACCTCCTCAGGGAATGTGTTCCCCACCTTCCCCTCCTCACCTTGGGGACAGGGTCCCCCATTTACCCCCATCACCTCGGGCAAGGGATCCTCCACATAACCCCTTCAACTCTGCAAGGTGTTCCCCCACCTAGACCCTGTTCATCTCTGGAAGGAGACCCCCACCAACCCCTCATCACCTCTGGAAGGTGTCCCCCTCCTACTCCACATCACCTCGGGGAAAGTCACCCCTCCTACTCTCCTTCCCCTCTGGAAAGTATCCCCCACCTACCCTCCTTCACCTCTGGAAGGTGTCCCCTACCTAACCCCCATCACCTCGGGG